TTTTTTTTTTGTTTAAATAAATAGTTGCGTTATATCATCCCATTGCAGCAACGAAATAGATCCATTCACAGCAGCCCCCCCTTCCCTCCGCGACTGCATGGAAGTTTTCTATGATGGAAATGTGCTTTCCAGTTGGTGTGTGTGTGGGGGGGAATCACAGGAATATCACAGGGATTATTTTCTTTGTTCAAAAGGGTTAATCTGGAAACCAGATGGTGGGAGGAGGAAGGGGGGGGAAAGGAAATTACACCAGCAGAAGAGGTTTGTTGACAAAGGGGGGGGGAGGAACAACGGCGTTAAAGTTGTGAACAAGCAATTCGTCCTATTGTAGCAATAAAAAAGATGCTGCCCACCCACACTGCATGGCAATGAAATAGATGCTACAATATACACTCAAGCAATGATCAGAGTACAGCTAACGCTTTCTCCCGACGATCCATCTTGGGGAAAAGTCTCAGTGCTGAGATGTGCAAAATGGAGAATCCCCAGACCTTTTTTTAAAACTCCCGGCTTGGAGAACAAAGACCACCAATCAGGTTGCTGAAGAAGTGTCACATGTGTCTCCTCACCACCATTGTTCCGAAATAACGATCTAACGAAACAGAGCATGCGTGCAAAAAAAAATAGAAAGGGGTGGATGGAGGGAGGTCGGATGGGAGGGGTTTGGGAGGGTTTGGAAACCAAGGGGCGGTAGTGGGAGGAGGTGAATTGCAGGAAGCCACTCCCCAAGGCTTCAATGTAAAATGAAAGACCCGCGGCACGAGCGGGGCAGACAGGCTTGCTGTGAAACTGAAAAAAATGCTTCGGAGCAGGAAACTCCAGAGGAAACCAGGCGCAAGTGCCTAGTGAGAAATCGCCCATAGATTTCACTTTGTGGTCTGGCGCTTGACAAAACACCCACAGTTTGGTTTTGGTCTCTACTAGCAGAAGACAGGCAGCGGGGGGGGGGGGTGTCCATTGCTCCCAAGTATCACCCATGTACCAACCACCAAAGCTCTGGGAACACTAATGGCCATCTTGGCTGGAGACAATGAAATGAGCAGTTCACACTGTGGCTGGAATCTGACACCTAAAATTCACACAACACAGGTACTTGGTGCCGTGAGCATGAAAAACTGGAAGGAGTTTTGAACTGATGGATTATTGAATGTATGTGTTAGGTCTATTTTATCAGCCTTTGTATTTTTATATTTGTATATGAGGCCTGGAATTCTCCTGGAATTACAACTGATCTCCACACTACAGTGATTAGTTTTCCTGCAGGAAAAGGAAGCTTTGAAGGGTGGACTCCAAAGCATTACATGGCATTATATCCCCAGAGAGATCACTTTCCTCTTCAGACCCCACCCTTTAAATCTCCAAGAACTTCCCAAGACAGAGTTAGCAGCCCTACTCTGGCCACAATACCAAAGATGCCCCTAGATCAGGTCTCTGGAATCAGCCCACCACAGCCTTCTGACAAGACGAAGTTTTCACTAGCCTGCCCCAAACAGAAGGCTATTCTCCAAAGAAAGCTGTGGCACCTCTCACCTGGATCTGGCTAATTCCCTCCCCATCCCTAGAAAGGAGAAGAGCCACACAGGGCCTGAGGCACAAAGGGATAAAAGAAACCCAGCAAAGGTCAAGGGAAGGGCAGAATTTCCTTGACTGCCTGTCAGTTAATCAGCTGCAGCTAAAGCCAGCCTACATATAGCCATGCCTGTGTATGAGTGCAACACAAGAGGAGCTTTTGAGTTCCCTTGCTGTGGGTTTAATAAACATGACTTCTGTTTTCCAGAACTTACTGCCTGGCTTTCTCTCTGTCTCTCTCACCTTTGAGGAAAACTCCTGCTGGGTCAGAGTAGATTTGGGCAGAGGTCTGATCGCTGCCTCCTCCTCCTCCTCCTCCTCCTCCACTTCTCTTGCCCTGACACAAGG